TTCTTTTGTTCATTCAATATGAAACAGAACGATTTTTTTCTGCCAAGTTTTATCGTGTTCAATTTGGTTGTACAGTAAAAAAAAAGCGAACTAGTCCAAATAATGTATGTGTATTTATGTGCGTTTTATGGCGCATTTTTCTCCGGAGCCAAGCAATTTTTCCAAGCAATAAGAAATCACACGCAATGCCCGTAATAATTTGAGAAGCAAACGAAAACTCAACCGAAAGTGTACAAGTGTACAACACTATGAGTCATAGATACTTCTGTCTTTTGCAAGAAAATCATATGCTACTGAATACAGGGTCCATATGAATTTCATATTGTGAAATCGATGCCGCACCAAAGACATTTTTCGCACACACAGAACAAACTCGACATTTTCTACACGAGTCGTAACAAATCACAGAGTTAGTGTCTGGACAAATGCGATTGCGTGTGTCCAGCGTGGCTGTTATTTGCAACTCGACGCCTGTTCTTTTTTAATATTGTTTCGTTTCAATTTCATTACAAAGGGCTTATGTGCTCTCTCCTCTCGATGAAATTGTTCATTCAATATTATCCGTAGACCATACTATAATATAAACACTTTGATCGTTTTCACTTGATGACAAGTCTCGATATTGCCACACACATAGACGCGCATATGACAGATATTTTGGCATACTCTATTCTATATATTTTTTACAAGAAAGAAGCTTTTATAAATCATATTCTCTTTTTTTTGGTTAAACGTCTCAAACAGAAAACTCAAGGGTCATCTTTCGACAACTTTTCGTTTCAATCACATTTGTGTAATAGCTCTTTCTTTGTTATCACGTTCATACGTTCGGCATTGTACCGAAAAATGTAGGTAGAGCGACAATAAAACACAATCGAAAGTAAATCACTTTCGTTCAATTACGCTTTTTTCGATGTATGTGTGTGAAACGATCAGAATGAAATTGTTGTGTGTTTAGAGGTGGCAAAAACGCGACAGGAAATACTCTATATGTTTGTGTAAGTGAGTCGTTAATCGGTGAAACTGTCATCGTGAAATTATTTAGTCCGGAAATTTTTTGCCAACGACACACAATATCTCACAGCGCTCACACTTCCAATTTTTGTGCACGTAATAAATTTGCAAATGGTAATGCATTAATGCTGAGGAAAAAGCGGGCCAAATACAATCCGAACAAGAACAACAACGACAAAAAAAAAACAATAAGTAAACAGCAATAACAAGCCAAAACAAATGAATTTGAACATAGCAAAGTGCTTGCTAAAAATTCATTTTCTCGTAGGTTTGAATGCTTGTTTAGCGACGACATATGTATATATGTGTTTTCGTTTTGGTTCGAGAGCGTTGTTCACTGAACCAATTTCACATGGAGTATGTTTGCACATGGGAGCAGCAAATGACGACGTGTAATTTAATGCTATAGCATGTTTTTGGTCTCAGACAAACAGGAAAAAAAGACACAAACACACTCTTTCTCTCTCCGTACCCAAGAAAATGTTAAACGAAATAAACCTTATTGGGCTTTCGGTCTACGAACCTATATTTTTTATTTATGAGCTTTCGAGCAACACTTTTCGTGGTTATTCATAAGAAATTCACAAATACTAATAAAATTCAATTGGAAAAGTCTTCGAAGCAAAAGTTTCACGCATTCGTCATAAGAGCATTAACACAAGCTTTTCAACGGCGCCTTCTTTCATTCATCGTTCATTTGAAAAAAAAAAAAAAAAAAAAAAACTATATGAATTCTTTATTTTCATTTGCATCCATTTGCAAAATCGCCAAGGTTAAATCCATTTTTTAAACTGTTCACGCTTTGCTCACAATTAGCCCGACAAAGCACAATTTATCTGCACTCTAAACCAGATGCTCTTCATTTTAACGTTCCATTTCAAATGTATTTTCTCATTTTGAAAAAAGAAAAAAGAAACATTACGAAATGCATTTGATCGACAGTTTTTGAGCGTAAAGTACACACTCGCATACACACATTAGGTGGCAGCTCAGCAACTAGAGCCACTCTATTGAGTTAAAATCGTTTATTTCATTGATCGAAAAATTCCTGAAATCCATTGAGCAAATTGTGAAGAGTTCATCTATGTAATAAAGTGGAGATGGAATCGTATTATCAGTTTTAAACAATAATACAAAAAAAAACCGCGGCAATGACGCCAGTAATATGCACTATAATTGCAGTATTTTATCATCAATTGTTTGGTCGATGTGCTCATTTAATGGTAGATATGCGTTCATTCATTGGTGTGGATGCATGGTAGTGTCGAAGTGGTCTCAAAGGTATCATTTAGCGTCGACCTATTATCTGGGTCTATAATTGAGTGGAGTATACATGTGAAATTGACACGGAACAAGCAGGGAAACGTTTATTCAAAACCGTTGGTGGTTGGCAAAATGTACTAAATGCAATACACAATACGATGCTACGTAGGCAATGTAAATGACGCTGTTGCTACTACCTTGAAAGTTAGCCTCTCTTCCTTCAATTATAGGAATTTCAATAATTCTTTGTAAAAGAGATGCCTACGTCGTACACTCGCATGTCATCTATCCATTTTAATTTCACACACTTCGCTTCGCGTGCGCCCTTTTTCACATTAGCTCTCATTTCAATTTGAATATGGTACGTAACCATATCAATGTTGCGTGTGTTTACTGCTTTGAAACGAAAAAGTACAACGGTTTTCTAGTTCACGGATATTGATTCAGAATGTACTCAAAATATCTATCTATGTGTTTGGATATGACAGAAAAATAATTGTTCTAATCGAATAATCAAATCAATACATGTAATTTGATAGAAAAAAGAAGTTTATTGTTCGTTTTTAACAAAATGAACGATAAACGTCAATGAAGTCCCCCCAGCGAACTCAAATTAATACTTTCTCGTCGTTTTTATTGGGAAGTTATCCATCTCATTGGCGTCAAAAAAAGAAAATAACGTAAAATGAGTAATTCAAATTACTCTGCATTTGATTGATTCGAGTGAATAGCTCAAATAAAGTAGTCAATACTGGAGTCAATACCAGGCGATTTTTTGGAAAGGAAAATCTTGTGAAAAACGGAGAATTGCGCAGTAAGCCTCAAGTTCTTTATTCAGTCGATGTCAATAAACTTTAATCTGATTTGCAATATTAAGTAGAAAAAAGCGGAAAGCGATTATCATAAATATTGAACAAAAATAGTAAATGCCATTGTGTGTATTCGATGTCAGATACTTTTTTCATTGTCCAGTCTAAGAATGTGTTCGTATCATATCGGACACGACGTGTTTCTACTGAAGTTATATGACATGTTCGACATCTATAGTAAAATGAAATTTGGCCCGACAAACACTATCGCATTACAAAAAAAGAGGCAGGTCAAGAGGTCGAGACGACTATTAAAATCGACTTAATCCTAGCTGTTTCACTTTTGTCGCTCGATTAAAATGACCATAGTTTTGTCATAAATTCTTCTACAGGTAATGTTACCGGTGATTTGGTGATGTCGACAATGTTTGCTGCTGGTCGAGATGATGAATAAATAAATACGTTTAAATAATGATTGCGTAGGCAGAAACTTTCATCCCGCACACAATAATTATATTTTTACGAGCACATTTCAGCCAATTTTAACGAAAGTATTTTCTGTGCGTGCATCATGAAAATGCTGTAATTCGAATGACTGATCCCCATAAAAATTTAACTGTTTAATTCGAGTTCCAATCTACCCGCCCCACTCTTTTGGCTACTTTTCTATTTCACTTATTTTGTGACAAACACAATAAGATCTTTGACCTTTTGCATGAAAGTCGAATATTTTCTCGATTTTTTTTTCTTTTCACATTGAATCGATTTACTCAAATGAAAAATTTTGGCAGTCGAATTTCAGCCTCATTTTTCTCTTTTCTTTATATCAAACAACAGAAACGACGTTGAATTTGTTTTATTTTTTGGTTTTCGTATTTCAAAAGTGAACAAACGTGAGTTTGTTATGGAGCTCAGGCACGATTATTCTTTCCCTATCTCCACTTGTTGTGGTGAAGTACAATAAATAAAATGAATAAAAAAAACATGAAACACATTTAAACATTTGAGGGTAGCATGACAATTTTTTTTCCACTCACTCACACGAGTAATTCCGTAGGAAATTACCTAAATGTTTAGAAGTTATATTTGTTATTTTTTTCTCTAACCCTTTTTGTATAAAAACGAATTTCAATTTGTTTCAAAACATATATCAATAGATTTATATATTTTTCCGATGAGAGAAATGTTTAAACATATTGCAGTAAAATCATGATTGGGACAACTTTGGAAACCACAAACACAGCCCATGATGATGATGATTATGACAAATGATCAAGTGATTGGGGATAGTTTTAGTGTAAAATCCAAGAGATAGTCATAAATCCATAATATGTGTATATGTGTGTTGAGACTTTTCAGATCATCATTTTTGAATTATACACACTCAACAGCAAGCACACTCAACTGCACTCATGGCAATTGTTTCAGCGTCTGTCACTCTCTCTCTTTCTCTTACTGCAAACCACAACGTCATTTGCCACAATTTACTTAATTGAATTAAATTGATATTGATTGTCAAATGCTGCTAGTATAAACCAAACGAATCATTTGTGTTTGAATGCATGAGGGAACCGAATAAGTGAACAAGAGATGGAAAAAAAAGGAAAAAAAAAAGATTGATGCCAAAGTTCATAAAATGCATCCGAAAAATTGCAGTGCACATACTTTCTCATTAGCTGTATCTAAACGCGATGTACACCAACCATATATTCATTGTATAAATGGTTGGTTCAAGCACAAATTATTACTTCCATTTTTACACAAATGATGATTGATTCGAATGCCAAATTGCTATTTTCGTAAAACGAGTTGTGAACTAACAATTGCTTTTTCTGTCAATAAAAAAAAATGAAATAAATTTAAAGTTCTTTCAACACTGTTAATTTGATCATTTTTTTCTTTCGCCCTTTTCAGATTAATACATCAGCAGCAAAGAAACTCTGGGAAAAAGGTGGAGTATCCGACATGAAGTTGACACCTTTACAGTTACACGGTGGCCCAGAACAAGTTTGGCGTGATTCAACTTGGTCAACACAAGGCGAAGCGATTTTAGCACCACCACGGCGTTATCCACATGACTCAAATCCAAGTGCTGGCATTTTAAGGTAGGCAAAATAAAATTCAATCCGAAAAAATCCAAACTTACTGCAATCCAAAAAAAATTATCTTTCCAAAAAAATTATCAACTTAACGTTGCCAATTTAGGTTTATATCTTCAATCCGTCACATTTGCTCTCGTTTTTCCATTGGTGACAACAATGGTGATAAAATCAATAAGAAACAAAATAAAAAATTAACATGTAACCTATGAAATGGTTACAAATGGTCACTTCGAGACTGAAATTTCTCGAAAAAAAGGGAGATGTAAACTACAAACAATAGAAAAAGCCGGATATCCGCATCATGGAACATGAGCATAATTAAATAATTCTCAGTCTCATTTCTATATTTGCACTCTTCAATTTTGTTTGTTTTTGTTAAATCAAATCTTCCGTACCAAGCGACCAAGTGAGATAGACAACATGACCGCTACGATTGTACATTTGTTTGTGTGTTTTGTATGTCTGCGCGCTCATTTGCGCTCCCATTTACTGTGACATATTTGAGTCTGTGTTCACATGCAATTTTAGTTGTTCATTTGAACGGACGCAATATTTCATAAAATGTGCCACATTTTGTTGACAATAAATGCACACAGTGCCATGGATAGGGAAAAAAGAAACGAATCATACTGCAAAATGAAAATAGGGAAATCTTCTTATCAGATGTTTCACGAACCATTGAAAGCATTTATTGTGATGTGCACAGCTAGAATCCGTAGTAACAATGATGCATATTCCCAATTTAAAATGCCAAAAATAAACAATGTTTTTTTTTGCCACAGTAAGAGCAGAAAAAAAGTAAAATGGGTTTAGGTTTGGAATATACGGTGTAGAATTTCAAGTCAACAAAAGAAATCGCGTAAATGAAACTACTGCGCTGTATGCGCGCGCTTTTGCCAAGAGAAAAAAAACACACCATAAAAACTAAAATAAAATCGAAAAATATAATGGCATTCGAAAGATATAAAGTGCATGATTTTAGCTCTTTTCTCTTCGTTCGTTAACTATTTTTTTCCACCATAACATTGAATCCATGAATATTTGGGTATCGACCATACCCCATGCAGACATGAAATGGGGCAACAAAATTCAAACATCACACATAAGAGTCAAACAAACATACAATCATAACGCAATACACAAGCAAATACAAGCAAGTATTCGTACTCGTCTCGTGTATGGAACTTTTCATTTAAATTTGGCCAACAGCCAAGCAAACTTGGTAATATAGTAGACTGGCTAGATTAAGTTTGTGTGCTCACACAAATGGCTATTTTCAAAATGACATGGAGATTTTACTGTATTTGACTCTATTTTCGACATCTTTTCCCTTTCACATGCTCTCTATCTCCCTCTCACAATGGAATGTTTGTGTATGTAGAGCAATATCGAAATTGATATGGGAGCGATGGGGCTGTAGAAGAGACGGTTATTTTTTTCCCTATCTCTACGCTTTCATGCTGAGCAATTTGAAAATGAAAACAGACCGGAATATACAATTGGCTGTTTCTGCTCCATCAAACCTAGGCGCAACGGATTCACTTTATTTAAATATCGTTTAGAAGTTTTTCGTGCTAATTTTACTTAGATTTCTCCCGTTCTCCCAACTATCAAAATCAGAACGCCTGAAAAAAGGGGCCAACATCAGTAGTAGCAGCAGCATAAAAATGCCCTCATGAATATTCATTTTCCGTTTTTGATTGCATGAAATTCATTTTTCCGTGTATGTGTGTATCCACTGTATACATTTGGGTGCATATCGTTTTCATGACGGTTTCGTTTTTGGCTCTGATTTGTTTTTATTCTGAAAATAATGCCCGGTTTATTTGTGCATTGCATTTATAAAAAACAACAACAACACCACAATGTATCCGCACTGCCAACACTAAAAACGAATAAGAAAAAAAATACTAAACCCGAAAGAAACGTCACATAAAAGCCAGATAAGTGCAAGATAATCCAATGCAATTTGTAATCCAACGCTGGAAAGCGTCTGGTATTTTTTTTATTTGGCTTTTTATTAGTTGCAGCGTTGTCATTGTTGATACCGTCGTTGTCGGTCTCCAGTTTTTTTTTTCGGGGATAAAAAACATGAAAATTGCTTAAGTAGATCAAAACGAAGACAGAGCACAATGCAAACGAAAATTGAAAATACCGCTTTCAAGTGGACACAAGTAAATAGATTAAATAGAATAAAAAAACGAACGAATTTATTCTGCATATTTATTTTGTTGTTACTTGTATATTTGCTAGTATATTTGCGAGGCAATCAAGTGGTGGGCAACTTGATTTCGAAAATCTCTGCAATGCTACTTTCTATTTGTATACATATTCTTAACTTTTTCAATGAAAAGTTTGTTGAAAGCATGTTTTTACTATAATAATAACTTTGATTTCATTTCAACTGAAAATTGTCTTTTGTTCAAAAATTTAAAAATGTTTTTGTTTATAGTCCACGTGATTCGACTGGCGGTCTTGGTGTTAAAATGGTGGAATACGTTTTGGGTGGTTCACCCACGAACAAAGAGAGCCCATTGTCAAACATGGAATCGCGTTTGCGAGGACTGAAGTTTGATGAAAATGATAAGGTAAGTGAAAAAGGCGTTTACAATTTCTTTCAAGTTAATTCGTTTGCGACTTTTATTCATAATTAATTACGAGAATTTTGTTCTATTTTCAATTTACAGACGACCGATGAGAAAGAAAAGGAAAGTTCACCATTCGACACAAATGGCCTGAAGAAAGATGAACCAGTTTCAAATGGTGGCATTAACGGCATTGACGATGACAAGGGATTCAAGTAAGTTAAATTCAATAATAATAATAATAATAACAATTTATATATTGACAGACAAACAACTTTTCATGTAAAGCAAGCAACATGCCTTTTCATTCCTTTAGAGCAGTTAAAACCACGCAATGATAATCCAAACGAATCGATTACTAGACGTGCATAAATATACAGCGTCTATATCGACTATATATAACTATCTCTATCCCGGCTTCTATACGCAGTTTTTTAATACAAAAACACTCTTATGCATGAAAGAACACGCGATCATACCCACAACAAATACAACAATATACAGTCGATTATACTAAGAGAAGCAAAGAGCGAAAGAGAGTGATTGAGCTGTGAAAGCTCAGAAAATGTAAATAAATAAGAAAACCGCGTGTTTTTTTTTTCTTTCAACAAACGTTCGAAATAGTCAAACTAACAATTTTCGATGTGTTTATGTGTTGACAATGCCACTACTGCATACATATGCCAATTCTCAAGCAACCGATCACATTGATCGGTATTGTGTAGTTGTTTGCTCTCTCATGTGGTAACTCCGATTTATCAGTGTATTGTGGAGGCTGTGTGTATCTTTGCTGTATATGTGAACAATCGAGTCGCGCGCGTATGATGCTAGTGAGGTGGCGTTCATTCACGACTTTCGATGATTTTTCCGCGCGGTCGCTGTCTATGTTTTTGTGTATTCGGCTTTGCACATTCGCACATTACATCTGCCGCTTTGTTAATATTGTTGTTAATTTTATTACGATTTTTTTTCTTGTCGGTTGTTACCGTATGCGTTTTAGCACTGTTGTGGCATTGACATTAGTTTAGTCGACTGGTTTTGTTCAAGGTCTATGCGGAACGATGCTTTACATGAACAGTGTACATCGTATATACATATATTACGTACACATAAATTGAAATTGTAGTTGAACGGACGCATGAACGCGTGCTTTAAGCGAAAGCGCATTGCGCACAAACAATCGTTCGGATGCGATTCGTTTGATACTCTTTTTTTGTGTTTTTCCATTAAATTGTTTTTGGCGCGGCATGCTCTCGGCCATCATTGTGTACGACGATGATCGCACCCGCTCTCCAGGCACTTCAGAGTTCATTTATTATTATTGTGCATCGCCCACGATTCATTCAATGAAATGGCATCCAATTTTGCTTTTTAAGTACGTGTTCACGGTGCTTAATCAATGCTGTCTAAAATGGCCGACAACGATCACAATCCAAAACAAGTTGTTTCGATAAAAACGTTTTTTTCTGCATTTTCAATAAACATGTAGAAAATGAGGTTTTTTTTCTCATCTCTATTTGTCGAAGAATAAATTTAAAATTCGCTCGCCTTGCACGCAAAACTTTAACAATATAATGATTCCTACGGCAAAAAAATCATATCATCGTCTAAATCTTATTGATCGAATTTCTTTATGAATGATTTCATCGAATTGCGCTCATAAAAAAAAGTTTGCACACATCTTATGTTCTGTTTATATATGCACATCCTTTGCATACATTTTGTTTTTGCTTCACTCAGTTGAAATAAGTGGCTTAAGCTATTGCGTGAAAAGAAGCCAGTATGAAATTGTTGAATTGACATAAACGCGTGTCGTGCGACTCATATATTGGAAAAATACAACCAATCAACGAATCGCGCACATCTATTACTATGAACACACACGGTGTCATTCTGAATGAGTCATACGATTCGAAGTTTTTTCCTCTCATAGAGTAATAATAAAAAGTTAGATTGAAATATGTACAAAAATGCCTTCAGATTATACATGATTGAATTATGAACGTATGAAATGCACAGTTTTGCTAACGAATGAACTTTTCCAGGCTTGAAGGATTAACACTTCAAATCTCTTCTCGTTACGACTTTATGCAATGCTAAACATTTCGAATAAATCATAGTATTTTCTTGGTACACTGCACACACACACACATACTATTTGTGACTGAGTTTCATGGTACTGCTTCAGCGAATAAATCAAGAAATGCACACTTGCTCATGTACGCGTTTTGAAAAAGCAATTGCCTTTGCAACAATTCCCAACTCCAAGAGTATGTTAGATGTCACACGAATGAGAAAAGTACATAAATCGTTTCGACGTCCAGGGTATTATATGACATGCAAACTGCCAAAGCACAAATACTTGGACATTGTCAACGTCATTTGCCGGAGAGATGGATGTGTGCATTTCACATCCAGAATTGATAGAGAAACACAAACATAAAACGAATTATATGCAAAAATTGAGAAGAAAAAAAGAACACACGCACACAAATCACATACACACAATATTCGTTCGTTAATCCGTAGTCGATAATATTCACATGTGCATGTCAAAAGCGCGATTCTGACATTTTTGCCTTGAGCGCGGTTTTTTAATAATAATCATGCATTGATTCAAGCAATACACAATGAATAGAACAAGCGCGTTTGCGAAAGTTAATGACCTTATTAGCTACATCTTCGTATGCACAGTGAATCCACTTTATATGTCTATATGTATATAAACACAAACATGATGATGATGTTTTGTGAGCATTTAGATGGCTGTCGCATGTCTCTTCATCGCTCACGCGCGCACGAGTTATTCACTTTCAGCCGAATCAGAGAGTGTTTGGCGGCGCATTGCACACCGTTTTATGTATTTGCGTTTAATTATCATTTACAAACTTTAAATCATGTTTATTTGCACATCGGATAAAGTGTGATTTTTTTGTGTGCTGTGTTCCACTTCACATACACGGGTTATTTTGTTGGCATAGCCATGATCAACAACAACAAAATTAACGACAAGATGCACTCTTTATCTCGATATTATATTGTACGAGTAATTAAATGTATTTTTATGCTATTAAATGCGTTAGCGCTTCGAATTCTTGAAATATTATCTGGTTTTTGGCTTATGCAATCAACATTTTACGGTGGTAGATTATTGATGTTTGGCTTTCCACTTTCCAGCTTCTATAATTCCAAACTCGAAATTAGCACCGGAAAAACGAAATCTTCTTAATAACTCCGTTGTCTCCGGTTTCAATGCGTAAATTCATCTTCGGCATATAATGTAAAGCAATTTCATTGATATGACAGTTGAATAAATTACGAGAACCCGGTAAAAGAGTGATTGCTCTTTTTCGCTTTTCATTCGCAAGCGAAAGTTTCGCGTAGTTTTCGGAATTGCATTCAATTTATGATCGCTTTGTTTGAGGTTTTATGTAATATGCTAACGACAGACTTTTGGTGTGTGTGTGACATACAAATCATGTGCATGAAAATCAAACACATAAATCACAATTTCATTCACATATTCGCGAATTTTCCAAGATATTAGAATGTTTTCCCATCAAATAATAACCAAGCCCTAAATCGAGCCAGAGCGCGCGTGCAATGCTGCTGCTGTTACTGCGACAAATGTACGAAGCACATCGACATCAATTCATTCGCAAAAGCGATTAAGCCGTTTTTTTTCGTTCGTTCAAACATTCTACAACAACAATCATTTTTTTTTGTACCATGAACGATTTTGTTGGGCTGAGGTTTGGTATAAGGCTTTGCATAATATTGCATAGAGATAGATACACATCCAAGCCACTCTCAAGTGGCTCGAGGAGGAGAAAGAATGAATGGCAACGCGTTTAAAGTGCCGTTTAAAACTGCAAATTCAGCAACAAAAATAATAATCTTCGTCTCATAATAGATGTATTTTTTATTATTTTATTCTTTTCGTTGCTATTCGCTTTATCGATTCAATTTTCACCACTATTCACTAGCACATTTGCAAGTATTCAACTTTTTCTAACTTATTCTCTAGCTGCTGGATAGACAAACGAATTGTTTTGAATTTTTTGTTCTTTTAATTTCTCTCTCAAGAATTTGCTCTGCCATTCGTGCTCAACATTTCTGTCTCTCTTTGAATTATTTCTTCCATTTCTGTATAACGATTTAATCGGCACTGAAATTAACACCTCATTCAAATGAGGTTTCAATTGGACTTGAGCGAAAAATCAACGCTCTGCAAATATGCTAATTGGATTCAATTCGCGCAATAACATAAATTTCTTTATCTCTTTACCATTCTTTTTCTCTCGAGAGAGTGTGTCTTGTGAGTCGAGACTGGAAAAAAATGGAGGCGAATATTCTCTATTCGAATAGTGGGAACACATTATGAAATAGAAAAAAAAATCGAGAAACAAATGCATTCCGCACTCTCTAAGAACGCTCAACGCAATGATGAGCCGAGAGCATATCGTGGCTGACAGACAACACCAGCAGTAACGGCAATATGTATATATTTTTCGCGTCGCTCATCATCGTAGCTAAAAACAGAAAATGTACAAAGCACATATTTTGGATTTTCGCTTTCTTAGAATAAATAAATGCAAATTACAGTTGTCCCCATGCAATTTCAACGACGACGATAACGACGACATTTGGCAACAATCGCTCGCGCACACGCTCATTCGCTTCCATTCCTGAAATGGGTGCATTGCGCTCTCGTATTCACCCATGTTAGCACAAAGCCGACGTGACAACTATGTGGAAAATAAGTTTTGCCAACATTCTGGGTTGAAAACGAAAATATTGCAAACACACGCAATGCAACAAAAAAACAACCGTAGTAGAGAGTTATAAAAAGATCTCAAATAAAATCTTGCCATATTATATCTTGATAGTAACTAAAATACGAGACAACTACGACATCGTTTTAAACTTGATGTACTAGAAACTTTCTCATTGCTCGGTTCATTACTTTTTGTCGAAACACAATCTTACACAACAGAATAGTACAAACCGAAGGATTCAGTTAATTACTTTCATTCACTTTTGTCAAATATTCTAATTGTTAAAAGTTTGTTAATTTAAAACATTGAAAATTACCAACTTACTGGCAAAATATTTGGTCAAAACCAGCGACAAAAAAAGTAAATATTTTGGGACAAAGAGTATAACATCCTATTTCATGTTATGTCACTCATTTCAGTGTTGATTTATGTCTGTATGTAAAATAAATGAGAATGAAAAATCCACGTAATTCTATGCTATCTTTGTTGCAAATTTACATTTTATATCTATACATGTGCTTTGAACGGCTCATTCACAATGTACATTCACACAAAACTTTAAGCTTCGTATGAATGAAAGCATTCAAAAGTTTTACGATGTAAGCACCAGATGTCGCCCGATGTGGTGTGTGCACAAGCTAAATGAAAATAATTTATATTTCTCTCTCAAATTGAATAGGCTACATAGTAACATTTTCTACGTAAATATAAAATTCACATTAAACTTGGTTTCATATGTAAACAATGAAATTATTGGTTATATTGGAATAAAGAGATGTCATGTGGTTTAATTCCTTTGCTTGTTTTTCGTACAATGTAAACAATGGCATAATTCTCATGTATCAAACTAAATCCGTTGGTAAAATATATACATGTAATAATATGTGTGTCCTTAATTTCCTTCATGCTTACAGTAATAATATGAAAATGAACTGAGGAGGATTTTTGATGTTTTCCCGCATTCATCAAATGATTCATGTATTTTTCATTTCAGCCGTACACCTGGTTCCCGTCAACCATCGCCCGATGAAACGATTTCTCGTCCACAAATGTTGCTCGATCCAACCACAAATAATTTTCATCAGCAACATTTTCAACACATGCTGAACACCAATACAAACATGGACATGCCATACCATCCACCGCTTCATCATCAGATGCAAGGACCAGTTATGAATGGTGGACTCCAAGTGCCGCAGGTATAATTTATCATTTATTCCCATCGTAATAATAAATACATTGCACATGTTCACATTTCACCAGACAGAGTTACGCATTACACTTTTCGTCCGACAGCGTTTTCGCCACCATTTTTTGGTCATAATGATTTCTGCAAGTAACTCTTTTCTCGTATTTTACACAGTTATCAGGAGAAGAGGTTGCTTGCATTGCGTATCCTTTGCTACATTATATAGCTTTGTTACAAATAATAAATTATTCACAACTTGCAAACGGGTCATTTAAATTTCGAGATTCAACCATTTACACACTCCATTCACATGTAAATAAACAACTAACTCGCAATCGTAGCGATTTGATTTTTCTTATCTCAGTTGCAGTTTTCACTTGTACACATATTTCAATTGCGTCGTTTGCAAAATTCTGTTCAAATCGTCATCGGCGATAATTCGTTCGATGTTCAACTAACTGTAAATGGGAAACGATATTACAATGATTAAATTGTTCGAAATGGATAATTACATTTTCTAATTGGAAACCTATGGCAACGCGGACGTTTTGAATGTACGAGATGCACATTTCGTGTGGTTCGTATTAATTAGCAAATGGTCTCTGTCGCTCTTTTGCTCTCAATGGTCAGAGATAAATGAATCAATGTTTGGTTAATCTTTTTTAATCGCATTTCTACTCGGGGTTTTGCCCTCACTGGTAAATATTGAGCAAAATGTTAACAATTAATTTGGAATCGATCATGTGACCGCAATTATTGAGAGATAACATAAGGCTTGTACGGAATCAAATAGAAAATTTAAATTGACGAATATGTTCGCATGAGGTGTTGCGGTGGAATGTGACAGTAGCTTAGTCATTTGTAAGGTTGAATGCATTTCCAAGAATATTTATACATATAACATCTATTCTTACCACACGCATACAGAATTCGATGGTAAATCAACCGCAAGGGCACAACTCGATGGATTCGTCTGCCGCTTTGCTGCAGCAACAGCACAATTTTGATGTACAGGTGAGTGATTTTGCGGAAAAAAATTATACACACAAACTGTTGCCCATGGGCAGCGAACACGTTGATCGAACAAAATAAAGAAGGAGCAATTCTATATCAATCGATTGAATAAAAGTAGCAGTATGTTTGACGGGAGATATTCCAAATAGATACATACCGATAGCCAACCAATTAAACATATTCAAGTACAACAACACAAATGCTGAAGACGCACAAGCAAAGTCATTTTATCGAGCAACGTGAGCGATAGATATCGTATTCACGGAAATGTGTGACTTTCTGATCAAAAATTTCCTATTTTCACTTCGGTATTTACATTGTTTTCGTTTTTTCGACAAAACTTGATTAAATATTTACTCAATTATGTTCGTTCGCATAAAATGTTTATCTTCTTTAACTCGTTCCTTTTTTTTCTGTTCGCATCCATCGTCAGCTTATGTCTCATGTTAGTGACATTGTTCGTCATCCACAAACTTTTCCCCTTTTGTTTGGTTTTTATTATAATTTCATTTATGCGAACGTTAGTTTTTCGTTGTCAATGCACCGTGCTACGATATCTAGAACGAAAACATGCCAAATCGGCTTTTATCTTTCAGCTGGGAAAAAAAACGGAAAAATGCGGACCTATTTTGAATGACATGTTTCTCATTTTCACGCGTTAATTCATCAATTTTCTAAAGCAATACATAACTGGCTATCTGTCTGTCTTTCTCTCCATTAATAAAATGAAGCCAACACATTTTTCGTTTGATTCAATATTGTAGAAGTGTAGTAGTAAAGATGAAATGAGTTCATGCCCATCACAATTTTTCTTTCAACTTGTCTATTCTATCTGTACGACTACAATTTGCTCTTAAATCAAATATTTGTCAGCCGTTTGTTACTGTTTGCCTCGATTTCAAACCAACAATGACAATGTATTTTGACTGCTGACCGCCTCTCTCTCTCACACACAAAATTTGCAATCTCCGCCTGACACAGAAATAGCTCAATATTTATTGTTTTCCACTAACATTGTATCTCATCCATGCAGAACAGCATACACAAAAAATACAGCTACAAATGCTGTTTGTCACCATAATTCATACCCAATTTCATTATTTATTATATGCATTTCAAACCAATCTGTTTGTTTGCATATATTTATAAGCAGTCTTCTCAATCTATTGGCTTATTGTTTTTTGTTGTGATTTTTCTCGGTCATAAATGGAGATTCTCGCTCACTCGGACTACAACTCAATCCAATTTACAAGTGGCTCAATACAATGCAAATGATAAATGAGTTGGGTGTATATTATTCGAAGAGATTCTACTCTATTCTTAAAATGTTTCCATAAAGTACCATGTCACATATAAGATCCTATAAACCGTTATCAATCTTTTGGCCATAGTCCAGTCTCCAGTCAAAACTTGAAATACGATTCGATCTATACTAACTTTGCCATGATTTTTATGTTGCTAGTAGAGTTTCAATCTCTCTATTCATCGCTTTGTGTATTTTTTTCGATTTTTCGAAAAAAATAAAACATCTGTTCTGTCAAGGTTTGTTGGAGAATGTGACAATTTCAATTTGTTACACTCTCTTGATATACACTCTTCAGTCTCAGCTTCTGATTATTTATATCGTGCGAAGTAACGAGATCACATAAAACTTCATTAGATTCTGAAATGAGATGGTCATTTCTTTTGAAAATGCTTCCAATAAATTCCGTTGAGCTCAAAAATTTGACGATTTCTTTTATCCGTCAATATTAATGAATAGATTTTCTTTTCATTCGATCTGCAACATTGCTAATGAGCGAGTGATGGACATTTTTTGGGTGAAGTGATGCTTTTGTTTAAGACTTATGAAAAGGATTACGAACAAACTAATTGGATTCTCTGCTCGCTATGAGATAAAGACATAAGAAGAAAAAGAAATGGCAAAATTCGTGCGAATGTCATTCAAAAAGAATTAAATGAATGTGTCTTACGATTATTTTCGCCGAGCAGCGAAATGAAAAAAGAAAATGAGAATCAATTTAATAATTTAAAAATGTGTCACCATATTTTCATCGAATGATCTGAATAAAAATTCGTGACAGCATTTTGTTTTGGTTTTCACTTTTTAGATTCATTTAAAATCTGCATCAATCCCCCACATTTCAAAGTAAAAAGAAAACGAGAATAGAAGCCACGTAGATACGCGCATTCTGGCGCAGCATTCCAATGGAGAATTTATTTCTATTTTGTGTATTTGCTTCCTCTTCTTCTTCTTTATGTCATTCACACTGCGAGACAAACAATTTCGAAATGAAGTTTTCGGACCATTCGGCTATTTTTAAAAACACATTAGAATGGTGATGGCATGAACAGGTCTTGGTGTCGCATTTTGCCTGCAAGTAATTGAATAACAAACAAAAACAGGAACGGTGTCACATGTCAGAATAGAACGGCTCTTTTCACATTTTATCGTTTTGTCTTGTGAAGCAACCAGACAATATATTTAACTAACTGGTCAGTTGAGCTGACAGTACGTTAGCCAGCTAAATGGGCTAAAACAATAGACGTTATTGTTTTAATGATGAATCACTTTTCTTGTTTTAATAGCAGTGATTGTTCATTAAAACAATAACTTGTATTGTTTTAGTCCATTTAGCTGGCTAACGTACTGTCAGCTCAAATGACCAGTTAGTTCAATATATTGTCTGGAAGCAACAAATAAAACGAAAGAGGAAAAGCATGAGATAGAGAAAGAAAGAAAGGCGAATCAAGTATCTCCGTACGATTCGACAATTTTACACTTTTCTGAAGAAAAAAAAGAGTGTTTTCAGGCATCGATCATTGTGCGATTCAAACATATGTGTGTCACGGTTTGCATACCGAAAAAAACCACGAACAAAACCAACTGAAATAGCAACCGTGCTCAGTAGACGACGCGCTAATTAGTTGTTGTGAAAATGCGCGCACGATGAAAATGAAGTGAAAAATCTGAAATCAGTATTATCGGTGAATAGTGAGCACGCACACACACATTTCTCCTGCTTAATATGCGACACATCGGTTCTACACACATTGACTTGGCCGAGGCCGTAAATCAAGTGAATATGAAGCGATGATCGAAACAGAAAACAACACGAAAAAACGCATCGCATTTCCTCTCTATCCGATTTTCTGGTGAAAATGGTTCGCCTGATTATTTTGTTTAGCGTATCATTTCTCGTCGAATGTGAGCGAAGCCAAGTGAATCACGCATTGGAAGTGAAGTGAATAATTTATTCACGATATGTGTGGATGTTTTTATTTTTTTTCTTTGCAAAGAGTGTAGCATGTATGCATCGTTCATTAAATTATCTACTCGTGCATAATGACCGTGTTTCATGATCTGTGCGTTGAGCGCGCGATCAAAAGCAACCATTCGAACTTTGAATAACAATTGCTGAAGGTACATGTAGAACGGCTGCCGCAAAATTGAACGAAAATAACAACACACCACAATCCGATGAGATTTTGAAACGGTCATGGTCACATATTTATGGTGAAAATAAATTAACAGAATGAATGTATAGTATATTTTGATGTGCGGGGCTTGTATTTTCGGTTTTTTTTTCGTTGTGAAAGGGTAATATTCTCTAAATACGGATTGGAAATTGAATTTGAAATCAGTAAAAACATTTTTTGCATGCAATTGCAGTGAGCATGTGAGTGAATGAGCGAGACTTTGGTTTTGCACACTCGCGATTATTGTGCACGTTCGTTACCTAATTATGAATGCGTAATGCTCGTCGCACACACTCTTCACCGTTGAGAAAGCACACATAAATGCTTGCTTGATATTGTTGCCACTGCCGCTATTTGTGTTGGTATGCTTGAACGCATCGTTTGTGTTCTAGGTATTTAAGTAACACCTATTTCTTTCCCTTTAATCAAACACACGATGTTTCGCTTTTTTTCCGCTGTTCATTGTCTTGTTGTTGTTTTTATTATTATTCCTTTTAGTAGAAAATTGTTTCTTTTTCTCAACTGGCACATTGTTCAATGCATCGTTGCAATTGTAAAGATATTGTATGGCTGTTGCGCGCTTCGTTTGTTTTGTTCTTTTTACCTCGTTTCTTCAATTTGAGCCAACCATCAAAAACGGAAATCTTTTGAGGAAAGCTAAGAAACAAAACATGTATGTGCATTTATTGGCATTTAAATGTGAATGGTTCGCCGTGCCTGTGTACGAATACATTTTCGAAATGGATTTTGAAATGAATGCTCGCATCCGAAAATGAAAATAATAATAATAAAAGGTTACATTTGCCCATTTTTAAAAAGCAGCCAAGTAGACATACACAAGGAGCATGCGTGAGATACCAATCGAATCATGAATGTAAAATCCTCCGAAGTCATTCATTCGTCTTTGGGGAAAATCATTGCAGCGTAAACATTTAATAAACGTATAAATTACGAACATTAATATTAACATGAATGCTGCACTCTGTCTTTGTGTGACGGGATTCATAGTGATGTGTACAAATTATCGGCACACATTTGCATATGCTATTGTACTATATATATTTACATAGGACTAAGGTCAGCGTAAACAAATCCAATGGTTTATCATTAGTTGCATATATTTTCGCACTTTGAAGTACAAAACTTTAATGAACGAATGACTTATTACACCGCTCCAAAATCAATCAATCGAAAAAGCCTATTGAAAACCGTTAAGTTTTCACATCTTCAGTTATTAGTTATTATAAAAAAAATCCCCTTTTCATGTGAATTCATCGAAACACATTAGCACTTAGTTCTTAGATTCATCAAAAATGTTTTAATTCAAAGCATCATGCGTCATTATTCTAATCCAATTTACATAATTTCGATATGATAAAATCGAAAAATACTAAGATTCGAAGATGTGAACGTGTCATTTAAAGACAAGTATTGATTTTTCCTGTTGAATCATTTTCCATTTTCAATCCTATTGTACTAGTTAATGTGCACAGGAAATGTAATTGACATTTTCCAAAATA